AGGAAATTCCAACCAGATTGTTGCGTTTACGCGAAGCTGGGCAAAATTTTCCTGGGCGAAATAATAGGTCATAATCAGCCGGAGAGAGTCGATAGCGACCAACCGGCGCGACTGAAACTTAGGCAGCGAACCGGACCGCTGGCACCACTCAAGATTCATTAGACTGATTTTGAGGCTTACCCCAGGGCTGCATGCTTTGGGTTACGTGCACGACTTTGAGGTGCTACTTGACGTAATATGATTGCTATGGATGCCCCCTCGAAAACCCGTTGAAATCGATACAATTATCGGCAAAAACTCAATTAAAATTTCAAAAATGTATCGAATTTTACGCGAATAACTAACTTTCACACGTGGTTATGTTCAAATAGACAATATCGTCATTATGAGGTAATTTCTCAGAGACGGCAATGTGCTCAACAGCGAACGGTAACTCCTTGAGCGCAGCGTTGACTTCTTCTTTCAGCAGTTTACTGTCATTGTTATCCTCCTCCTCATCATCTTTATCATGCTCGTCCTTCTTCGTTGACTGTTTATCCATTTCTATCTGACTTCACATCAGCTGATTTCATCAAAAATCGCCAAGTTAAAATCAAAACGTATCAACTCAACACCTCTTCATCGTTCATCATTAGTGACCGGTCAATCTGCCTAAAGACATTTAGTCTAACGATAGTTTGCCTAAAGACACATTGCCTAACGGACAGTTTGCCTTTTAGGCGAAATATTCATTAAAAACTGTAAGTTAGGCAAACTGTCCGTAAGGCAATGTGTCTTCAGGTAAACTGTCGTTAGGCAAAATGTTTTTAGGCAGATTGACCGGGTACCTTCATCATTCATACCAGTCACATCTCTTGATCGGGAACAATATCATTCGGCACATCTAACACCATCTGATCCAACGAACCATTCGATGAAAATATGTTTTGTGGATAGAGATTCGCCGAGATAACAACATATCCAACAACATCGGTAATGATGATAAATAGAAGGCAATCTGTACAATTGGGCACTATAATCACAAGCCACTTAGCATAATCCAATTGGATAGTAGAAAGAACGAGATGACTGAGGTTAATATTTTTTTAATCAGTAAGTAGTACGTCGTTAGTGCATGTAACCGCTATTGTTATCACTGAATCGTTATTGTTATCACTGATAACACTCCTGCCATCACTATCATCATCATGCTTTCACATCGTTAATTTCGTTCTTTCAACTAGATTCAGCTCAGTTTACTGCCAAAATAGCGTTAAGCAGTCTTCTCAAATGAGCCGATAGACCAATTGATCAATACAAACACTTTAACAAAATATTCCTTGACACCTCGCCCCAATTCTTTACTAATCAAAGCAGATTTCATTCATTCAACAACCAACAAACGCACACTTCAATAAAAACCAAACGCCACCGTCAAGCAGTGTTTTCAAACAGAACAGGTTTACCCAAAACTGAACAATGCAAATCGAAATTAATGACCAGTTCCGGACAACTTTCCGCACTTCCCTGTTCCACACCATTACCGAATCAATGCTCAATTTCAAATATTGAAATGAGAGTGTTTTCGTTGAAAAACGTCACATTCAACTCAACACGAAGCACCAAAAAACGTGAATATTACGTGAAAACATAATATTTCCATCAAAAATTCATCATATACGTAATATTTTTACGTAATATTATTTGAAACATAAATAAATTCATAAAAACAAACGTAAGAGAAATAAATCGTGAAAAAGTTAGTCGTCGATAAACTGAGCAATCCTGAATCAGTTTCGTTTCAACTATCGCAAATTGCAAAATTATGCAAGCAACTATCAAATTAACTTCAGTAAAATGTTTCACAGTATCATTCATATGTGAAGATATGCAAATAAATATTTATTTATGCATTTGTTTATATGTATATAACCGAAATAAGTATTTATTGATAATTGAATTTTATCAAAGCAAACGTCATTCACGTAACGATAACAACCACAAAAATAGCGATCGTTTCGTCGCGTATCAACGTCTGTTCACATCATAAAATCAGAGCGTTCTCATGATTTTCAATATGTTTGATAAAATCAAAAATAGAAAAACGTTTACAGATAAGAGAATCAACCGAGACGAACGTATTGCAATGCAACGCAAAAAAAAAGAAGAAATTCGAACAAACGGTGTCGAAACCAATTAACTGAGTGCATCGTGAAAAAAGCATGGAAAATGTGTTGAAGATGGTGATAAATTCTCGTGAAACCTTTTTAACGAATCCCATTTCATCTCAACGGCGAAAATGAGCAAAATGTGTTTGTTACGAATATATTCTCATATATTAGCTAACAAGAAATTCAGAATGTAAAAATGGAATGAAAATCAATAAACAAAAGGCGACACAGTGAATTGAGACAAACAAAATGGAAACTCGAAAGAAAATGCCTAAAAATAAACGAGAGTGCATCAAATATTGATCAGTGAGAAATTGGTTTCAGGCTTGCCATATCGATCAAAATGAGTCTGGTTAGGTACCATATCATAAACCCAACTAACTGCTTCAGATTAAGTTCCCGCAGAACCTTAGCCTCAGTCCTCATAGGTGCTTGCTTGCCCAGCTAAAGAACATAACCATTTTTGGGTACATCCATACCATCGTCAAGCTTCCACTCGAATTTAATACGGTTATACTTTCATGGAATCGATTTTGTTTAAGTATCGAATAGAATCATTTTTTGGGAATATCGCATATTCCTCTATTACTACATTACCCACATCCATACCCGTATCCATCAAAACTGTACCAATGATTACAGTTGTTACAATCAATTCTATGCTTGTTACCCATTAGTGCATGATCATCTCCGGCCGATCTGCTGGCTTTAGACGACAGGATCTCGTTTCATGAATATTTATAATGAATTCAGATACAGTACAGGCGAATAACTTGAAAATTTCAGAACTTATTACCCATTTTTTCATATGATGGCAACCGCTACATTTAAGCGGCAAGCATCTTTCTTCAACACTCGCACACACTCACACACATAATCAGGCATAAATAGAGAGTATTCGTTGAATGTCACATTTTCGAAATGATAACCGAATGTTGAACGGAAACGATGATAAGTGATTAAAAGTAAGACCAATTCACAACAAAGNAATATTTTTTTCAGCACTCATACAGATATCAGAATTCGACATGGAGATGCGTTACATTGCAAGTAATTGAAAATGCGTTTCCTCTGAAAATAGGAAATTTTTAAGAAAATGAGAAAAACCGAAATTGAAATTTCGAAATCACAACAATTAATTCCTGAAAAACATCTATAGACAAAATTCGAATTTCCCTGCACCGCATCTCAAAGTCATTCTTCATTCATCCATCCATATGAGTCAATAACGAGCGAAACGATCGGATCCTGTCAAAGCGACGTGTTATCAAAATGATGAATGAATGAATTTCACATGCTCAAGTGAA